TAAAAACACAACAAGTAAAAGGGAAGCAAAGGTGATCGACCCCACGTTTGGTCTTTTATACACGTACTAGGCGGGAAACCCTTTTATACCACCCCGGGTACAAAGTCCGGGGTGGCCCGTACTAGGCGGGAAGCCCCCACTTCAAGGTCCACTGCTCAAGGTTCAATAGTTCAGGGATCAAGGTTCAATATTTAACTTCCGTCAATTTCGAACTCGCGTTCCGCGATACTCCGGCCCGAGGGGTGGGTTTGGGTATGCGGGAGTGGGAAAGGATGTGCGGGAGAGGGGAAGGATGGGCAGGAGGGCTGGGTAGAGGTGGGCACGGGTGGGAGGCGTGGAAGCTGTTCTGCTTCATAGGTCTTCTCTAATGCCCAGTCGTCGGCATATCACCGATACTTTTTTTGCCTTTCGCAGCTCTCCTAAGGTCTCTCGAATCTCGTCTTCTATTTTTTCCGCTTTTTCAGGCCAGTCGCATATTGCGGAATGATGCCCCATGCGGTTACAGTGAAAACATCGATTCCAGTATTTCGAGCATCTTGAATCAGCCATGCATCCTACTTCAAGGCATATCTCACATCGGTGTTGTCTCTTCAGGAGAGTTTTCCTCCGTGCACTGTCCCGTATCCTGGGACACGAGTCACTATAGTGTTTTCCTCGATGTCCGCAAAACGTGCAACGCATCGTCGTTTCTTCTTTCTTGTCCACTCCGCTGATGTACTCTCTTATCTGACACGGTTTTTCTTGCTCCAGTGAGTGGATACGTATCCCCAAAACATGAATCTTCGCCAACAGCGTCCGTCTCGTGTATTCCAACGCTTTTACTTCATCTGCGGACAGTTCTGGCTCCTCCACTTCCATATCGGATCCGTGTGCCATATCCACGTCTTGTGACCTTCGCTGTTTCTCGCATTCTCTCGAGTGTGCCTGTCCATGAGTGAGCTGGCTTGACATTTCTTCAAGTGAACTTTGTATGGCCGAAATAGTCTTGGCCATCGTCTCCTGTGTAGTGTCGCGCATGGCCCTTTCCTCGTTAAGCGCCGTCGCGCGCATGTTCCTTATGGTCATATACAGCTCATTAATGGCTTTCAGCTGGTCGTCGATGATCGGTTCCATGGAGTCCTGATCGGTCGTTAACTTGTGTTTCTTTCCTTCTGCATCGTAGTAGACTTGCGGTTGAGCTATCATGGAGTCCCATGCTGCCTGTGAAATCCTCCTTGTCGCGACGAGGATGGGTGGTGAGGCGTATAGGTCCTGAGGGTTTGGCGGAGTAGGCGGAAGCGGAGTTCGCAATTTTCTGCTTTTTGCTCTACAAGGTGCGCGTCTCGCTCCAACTCCCCCCCAAGGCTCGTTGGTCCGGAAAAAGAATGGGATCTCATCATGTAACTGATCCAGGACGGCGCACTTATACATAACGTCTCGGCAACCGTCCACTATCTTGTCCAGAAGCGCATCTGGTTCGGGTAGTTTAGGGAGTGCTCGCAGAAGATTGTTATAGTCGTATTTCCGCTTGTTGTACTCCTCAAATCGATGGAACGAACTCATGTCTAAAACATTTTCGTCAGTTCTAGCTTATAGCTTCGCGATGAGCATTGTTTCGTTGCAAGGTCTTAGTGCCAGTATGGCTCGCTTCTGTACTCAGCAATGTTTTTCGTTCGCCAATGATGAATTGCAAAGACTCGGAGTAAGCACGACGCGATCGCAATTAAGATGATTCGAATTTTGACTCGCACGTCTTTAGAGATATTCATTTTCTTAACAATGAACACCTTTTTTTTGCAGGTTTGATGTGTAACGCTTGCAAAGCGGACTATTTGACTATTATTTTTTCGCAACGTAGGAGCTTTCGTTCGCAACTCCACCTTTTCAATGTTCATTTGTTTCAATGAAATCTTGATAACTTACCGGATGGCACTCTCGCAAATTGTAACGACTCTGAGCCAGTGGCTTTTGCTGATTTGACTGGAGTGAGGGATCGCTTTCTTGTTCCACGAAGTCGCAATCAAGCTCTAAAGGAACAATCACCTTTCAATAGTTCGCCCTGTAGCTGTAAATAAGCACACTTCACGAATCGCATTGTCGTCGCTTCTGTGGATTGCTGGGATGCGCGCTAACTTCCACTCGTTCCTTGACTGAATTGGATCAACCAGAAGCACAATTGCGCCAACATGTGGAACTGATTTTGCGTTGCGGGTCAAATTCATCCATTTTCGATGTTGCTCGCGATAAGTTAGGGGCCGCACGTTTAAGCTCGCTTCAATTTCTATAATCGCAGTGACTAGCTCGTCTATTGTTAGTCTTGTTCTCCCTATTGCTTTATAGAACGCATGTTTGAGTGACTGGATTAGACGCTCATAAAAGCCGCCTTGCCACGGCGCTTTTATAATGATATGGTTCCATTTGATCGCATGGTTCGCGATGAACGGGTAAGTTGCAGCCTGCCCAACAATATTCGCTAAAATTTCTGAAGTCAGTAAAAATGTTGGTGCATTGTCGCATGTTATTGTCGCTGGGACGCCGCGCTTTGAAAAAAATCGCCGCAACGCATTGATGAGAGCTTCCGTTCCCATACTTCTCACCACTTCTATATGGATCATGCGTGTCACGGCGCAAGTGAATATACACCCGTAAGCCTTTGAAGGGGAGCTTTCATCCTGTACCTCAGGCAGGTCGAAAAAATCCGACCCGATATGCTCAAAGGGCCGACTTTTTTGCACCCTACGCGCAGGTAAGTCTGTCATGGCGGGGTACTGGTACGGTGCTGCGTTGAATCTTCTGCACCTGACACATCGATTGATGAGACTACGAACTTGTTGGCGCAGGCGCGGAATCCAGAACGATTGCCTTACATTTGACATGGTATGCGCAATCCCGCTGTGGTACTTCCCATGAGCACCTTGTATGATTAAGCGTGCTAGTTCTGTCTTGGGAGCGATAAGCACGGGAAATTTGGATTCCTCGCAGAGGTCTGAGTGACCCAGTCTACCTCTCGCTCGCCAGATATTGTCGTTATCTTTGAACAGCTTAAGTGTGTTGTCCATGGTTCTCAGATAGGAAGGCGAGAAGCTGCTCTGGTGTATTCGCACTAGCGCCTTCCTCGCTTGTTCCATATCAAGGCCGTTAATAGTCTCAATTCCGAGTTCGTCCGTAAATTTAAGCTCTGGGAACGCTTTAGTAAGGTTTTGTTGTCTTTCCCTCGTGAGTCTTTGAATGAGTCGCCTGAGGAATTTCAATATCCATGCCATCACTCGTTCCGCTTTTACCAGCGAGCAATAGCGTGACAGCGGTATCCATTCCTCTAGTTCTGAACCTATCGTGTTCACACACGAAGAAATATCTGAATCGTGTTCACACACGAAGAAATATCTGAAGACAGCGCAAAGAGTGAGTTATTCCAGTTCGAAATCGGGGAATATAAGAACTCTGGACCGTTCCACAATGTGCTGTTTGAGAGCTCTCCCTTTGACAGGCACCTGGTGCCCGCATCTGCTGGGTTTATACTCGTAGAAAAGTACCCAAAGAGTACCTTTGGCCCTATGTTTTCTATGGCTATCACTATGGAGTGGATTTCGTTCGCTCTATTGCTGACAAACACCCCCAAATCGTGTGAATTGGGAGACTTCTTGATCCAACTCAGTACGATTTGTGAGTCCGAAAACAAGACCACGTGAGCGATGTTATCGCTATTTTTGTCCATGGCTTTCAAGACAGACAGGCCTAGGCGCGCACCCATAGTCAAGGCATTGAGTTCCAGTTTTGGGATGGTGGTTTTCGCTTTTATAGAGGGGAGTTTTCACTTTGCCATCAATAGGTCTGAAGAACTTCCCGATACTAGGTGAGCGCATGTTGCCTTTGCCTTTTCGCTCGCATCTGAGAAAAGCACCAGCTCGCAACATTTAAGGACAGATGAATAACGAGGAAATTGCCTATTGAATCCTTCGATTCCTAAAACAATTGCCTCCCACTCCACTTTTCGCTGTACGAGAAGCTCCTGGTCCCACCCATATCCTTGCATCCATAGTCCCTTGTTGAAAGAGTTTCGCTTTTATCAGTAGTGGTACTAACCATCCTAATGGATCGTAGACGGATGCGACTTGTTTTGTTACGGTGCGTTTGGTAACCTTCGAACTCGCAGGCAACTCGCACGTTAGAAAAAGAGTGTCCGTCTCTGAGTGCCATAGTACTCCGAGTACCTTTTGATTTGGCTTTTTCGCGTATTTAGGCGCTGGTAGTGCGTGTCGTAATTCACCGTAATTCGAAAGGAATTCGCGCAGGTTCATTTTCATGTCCTCAAATATCAAGTTCGCTGCTAATGCTTTGTTTTCAATCGTCTTCGAAGAATCGCTTGTCAAAATCAAATTGTCTACATATAAATTGTCTTTTATTTCCTCTGCTAGAGAGGTGTCGCTTACGTAATGTCGGAGGTGGAACCTGATTGTTCCAGCTAGTAAGAACGGTGATACGTTCAGCCCGAATGTTACTCTAGTGAACCGATAGGCGACGAGATTATCTCCTACAGCGGGTAATGCTGTATCTCTGACCCATAGGAAGCGCGTGGCATCTCTGTCGCATTCGTTCAAGCGCACTTGCAAGAACGCCTTTTCAACGTCTGCAATCGCTACATAGGGGGCTAGTCGAAATTGCAACAGCATACCGTAAAGATCTGGGAGAAGCTTGGCCCCCTGGTGTTATACTTCGTTCAAGGACAGGGAATTCCTGTAATGAGAGGCAGCGTCAAAGACCACTCGCAACTTCGTGGTCTCCTGTGGCGTCACTACCGCTTGGTGGTTCAGATAGTGAGTCACATGGGAGTCGCATTTTCCCGTATCGCTCTCGATTTCTTCGATTATCCCTTTTTCTAACTGGCTTTTGAAGACTTCCTCATATTGAGTTAAGAGGTCCGGCTTTTTGCGTAAGGATTGCAAAACGCTACATAGTCGTCTGAACGCCAAGTTACAATTATCCGGAAGTTTTTCGCAGTTTTCCTTGAATGGAAGTCTGACGTAGTACCCGTCACTCCGCCTTTCGATAGCATCATTGAAAAATTGTAAAACCTTTTTCGCAACTGAAGCCTTTTCTGTGTTGATTGGGCCGCCGTACTCCTGGATACCCGCCGAATCAAGCCTCCAATACTGATCCCATTGATCGTACTCTGATTTTTCTTCGCTGTAGCCGAAGACCATGTCAGGCTCGGTCTCCAAGTGTTCGCAAACCGTCTCGCTCTGTTGAGAATTTTTCCCCCTTTTTCCCGTTATGAGTTAGCCCAGCCGGAATGTTTTGTCTGTCCCATATTTTCAAAGTGGTGACATCGTACTTATCCTTCCTAGGAGTTTTTGCTCCGAAGGTGTCCAGCTCTATCGCATTGATCACCGGTAGCTCAAGCTTTTCCGCCAACCCCTTCTGAATGAAAGACCTGTCGGCACCTGTGTCTAGCAGGATTTGGACCATCTGTGATTTCCCTGTTTTTGTATTGACTACCCGGGCCTGGCCCGTTAAGAGGTAGACTTGGGACGGCTCTCCGCCATTGAGAGTGTTGTCGCAATTCTGAGTTGCCGCCTGTAAGATTTCTTCGGGTTTTGCGCTTTCTGTTAGCTGCGCACTCACTCCTGTTGAGTGTTTTCCTGATTTTACACGTTCCTGTTTGGACGGCGGCACTGTATTGGAGCTTCTTTGCTGACCTGCTCCCGCTGATGTCCCTTTCACCTCTTGTAGTCTTTTGGGACAGAGGGAGAAGTGGTGCTTCGCACCGTCACACCTGGCGCATCTACTCCCGGTGCATTCTCGCAAAAAGTGGGTGGGCCTTGCGCAGTTCAAGCAGAGCTTGTTCTGTTTTATGAACTCTTTTCGCTCATCTACTTTGGCAATTTTCGGACATCGCAGCGAATTGTGATCGGTCGCATCGCAATAGATACACCGAGTTCGATTTACGGAATGGCCGGCATCATGTTCTGGACTTTTGGAGGGTTTTCGCTTGTAATGCTCATTTTCCTGAATCATTTCTGCAACCCTTTCTTCTGTTTTTATCAGCGTGTCTAGATCACTCAAAAGGTCTCGCACTGTCCAACCATCTTCATCGTGATCCTGATTCGCTCGTTGTCTGAGTAATCTTCGTTGAAGTTCTAGTTGGAATTTTGCTGAGATTTTTTGGGTGATATAGGAATCTTAAGAATGACTCCCTGCTGTTCTAATTGCTCTACAAGGGATATGAGGTACTCGAGGAGCTTACGTTGCTCATTTATTTGGTTGCTTTTTGCATAGGCCGACTCTATTCGCGTCTGGAGATTGCGTACTAGCTTGGTTTTATCGCCGTACTTCGAATGCAGCAAGTCTAATGCCGCGGCATAGTTTTCTTCTGTGATAGGATATCTTTTTATTGCTTCCTTTGCGCTACCCTTCAAGGCCCGTATGAGATAGTTAAATTTTTGTAATCCAGTCAAATTTTGTTCGTGAATATTTGCACGAAATAATGACCAAAAGTTCTCAAAGTCACCCATTTTTCCATCGAAGGTTGGACTAGCTTGGTCTTATCGCCGTACTTCGAATGC